CCCCTCCCTCCCTCCCGCTCGTCCTTCCCACCAAACGACCCACCCTCCGCATCCTCCCGTCCTACCTCACCCCCGTCCGCCCTCGCTCCCTGACCGTGTCATCGCCGCCCCCACCACCGTCCCTTTTACCCGTCTTATCCCATTCCCCGACCCACCGATCGCGAACTGCGCGCACTCGGACACGCGCACGCACACGTGCGGAGCTGTAGCGAGGTAAGCCCCTCCAACTCTCCAACAGCCCCGCATTTTCATCTTCCACGCACCCTACCATTATGTGACCTATACCCCTCTCTCTCTCTCTCTCTCTCTCTCTCTCTCTCTCTCTCTCGACACTCCCCCCCAACCACCCAATGCACACGCAAATAATCCACATCCACCCCCACCTCCCCACCCCACCCCCTCCTATACCCGTCGTAGTCATTATCATCGTCATCGTCATCGTCTCGTCATCCTCATCGTCAGCTTCATCGTCATCGTCCTCCATCGTTATCACCCTCTTAATCCAGACGAATTGCACGTGTCGCCCTTTACTCCACCGACTTTCTATCGTTTTTTATTTTCTTTTGTTTTCTTCTTGTTGCACGCAGACAAGAATTGTCGAAAGGTAAGTGAAAAAGTAAATTTCTGGCGATTGTCGGCTTGTGGAACACGACGGTCACTTTGGCACAAAAAGGCGATGTCGTTCTAACCTTCTACCTGCATATTCCTTTCGAGCCTTTCCAGCCGTCAATGTCATCATCCTTACCTCTCATTAAAGGATCTAGTTAAACTCTTTTAAGACGACGTCCCGTTAAAATAAAAAAGAGCAGAAAGAACAAAACAGAAGAAAAAAATCTTTACAATTGTACGTCATGTTTGCTTCGCAAAAAAAAAAAAAAAAAAAAAAAAAAAAAAAAAAAAAACAATGGCAATGCCTTATTAGACGAGTATATATTTATAACTGGAAAAATTTACATGAATGAATCATCATCATATAGAGCAACAAGTTACGTATAGTCGGCTGTTGTGTTCGAGCAAGTCGAGTGAAAATCGAAAACGTCAAAATGCATGCGGGAAGGCATAGCGTGCGCGAGCTTCCAGAATCTTCGAGGCTTAGTCAAAATGTTTTTCATGGCCTACAGTCGATAGTTGCGTTTACGCGCGCGCGATTGCGTGCGAGCATGTCGTTGCGTATGCTCGTGCGTTATGTACGCGGAAAAATGCGCGCGACAAATGTATTCGTTGAATTAATGCCTTTCAAAGGTCAAGTTTGGAAAACAATATCTGTTATTGAACCCAGAGCACTTTTAACCGTATTGACGTAATAAGCATAAATGTGATAAATCGCATAAGTATGCGTGTACCGTGGAGTAATTCATGATAATTATTTGGGGGAGAGGGGCAAAAGAAAAAGACCCTTGGGCACCGAAATAGCAACAAATTTAATGTACTTTTCTCACAAAGTGCAAAAAGAATCTTGAATCCGCTTGCGTTTGATTAAAGTCTAATTGCCTCTGGCTCTTTGCAAACATTGATACACTCGCGCGCATTTCGTAGTCCCGGCGAGAGAAAGAGGAGAAACAGCCGCTGACGTCATCAACGGGATGACGTGACATTTAGGCGCGAGCTGCTAGTCCACGATTTTTCACTCGACACGCGTCCTACCTACACGCAATCGCTTCACTCTCTCTCTCTCTCTCTCTCTCTGTGTACGCGCGCGCGCGCTGTTATTTCTCCTCCTTTGCTCTAGCGCGCGAGAATTGTGAAAAAAATGCGCGTGCGTATGGGGTTGGGGTGGAGCGAGGGGAAGGGAAAGAAATATAAGAGCGAAAGAGGAAGGGGATATGGAGAGAAAGATATTCAACAATTTTTTAGAATCTGAGGCAAAACATTGTGCTCGTGGTGTATGTTGTACGTCCTCGGGTTACAAAAGTTTTTACCGTCTAATACAAAAATACCAATTGGCCGTGTCATTAGATTTATAAGAGTGGCACGAATTAAGTCCAAAACATTACGCGACAATGTATAATTCAAAAACATGATTAATCAATTTTTTGCTCATAACTGCAAATCATTGTTGAAGTCTCCTTAAAATCCTGAAGCATAAATGACTTGTAGAATTTATCGACTTCAAGTGTGTTATATTGAAAATCTTCGCACTGGTTATTCCAAATTTTTTGAGCATAAAATCGTAAATATTGTAATGTTCATACAAATGTGATGCCGTTGAAAATCATTGAAGTTCGAATTCGAAATTAAAAAATTGATTTTTCGCAATGAATCACAATGAATAACTATCAAGGAATAATAAATAATCTTTTCTATGCACTGCGTTCATTTTATTTAAATGTGTCATTTATAACAACTATTAGCTACCAAGATTGCAAGCTATTTGTAGTTTTTAAATTTTAGACATTTGTTTATAAAACAGATTTTATAACACACATTCCATTTCAAGGATTAAACACTGAAATAAGTAAAGAAAGTTATTCAAAATTTTTCAATCCAAATAGTTGACTTTATAATATAAATAACAATGAAATATTTTAATAACAATTTCAAAACATATTCGTCATCTTTCATATTTTTTCATATCTTTTCACTCTTAACACATTATATTATACTTGATATATACCTATTTCTTTATATATATATATATATATATACAAATATTCATAAAATATTTATAATTCATTTAAAAAAAAAAAAAAAAAAAAAAAAAAAAACGCATTATCTCGGTCATTATATACAACATATTGCAAATTAATTAGAACAAATGTATCAAACCATTAATTTTCCATTTTTCAGCTATTAAATGCAGTATACTGTCCAAATTTGTATTGATAAATGATCTATTTTTCATTTCTATCCATGTTTAAATAAAATACTGAAATATAAAAGTTTTATTCCAGCGATAATCATGCGCAACTGACTGATTTCTCGCATGATTTTTGCATCTTAATTTATAAGCTATTTATAAGCTTTTATCGATTATTAATTAAATATCTTTAATTTACATATATCGTTTAATATACAAAACCTATATAATAAAACATTTTTTGTTTTATGTTAACGATGATTTGTCATTCGTTACTACTAATATATCAAGAATATTACAGTATTGTTTTCATCGAGCTTATTGGCTCAATTATTCAAATTAATTTTATTAATAACTAAAGTGTTTTGCTTAAACTAAAACTACATTGAACTCTTTTATAGTGATCTCGTAAATTAAATGCACATCCGCTGATTTCGACAATGGAAGAAATTATTTTTAAATATATGAAGATGTTTTTTTTATTCTTTATTTTACAATTAATGTATTAAATGTGACGTCATTTGGATGATATGACGTCAGCAGTGTAAGTGAATCATCTTCGCGTGCATTTGAAGTTGGCTTCAAGGATCATAGCCATTGGTGGATATTTAAAGATGCCGGTTACTCGACGGATATTGGGAATTAAGTTAATATTTTTCTTAAGTACTGCAATAATTTTTAACAATATACATTGAAACAAAACGGCGATAGATGGAGAAAATAATTTGTTTTTATTTTCAAAAATTTTATTTTATGCTTTGAATGCACCGAATGTTAAAAACATTTTCAAATAAAATAATAGCAGTTTGTACACATTCATAAACGTCGGTATTGTTAAAATAATTATTGATAATTATCTAGCCTCTTAAAGAAATTTTAAAACATAGATCCTTAGTTATCATTGTATGTTCTTTTTCATTAAATAATATTTGTTCTTTACATTTTGCCTTATATGCATGCGTTCATCAAAATTTATGGGATCAAGGCCCATCGTAGATAAAATATAAATAATAGAATATAAGGTAATTCGTCTTAACCAACTCAAAATCTACCACGGAAACAAATGAGATGGCAAACTTTATATCAATATTGTTAATTTAAAAATATTCAATTCAATCATGTGTTCATCATCAATAAAAGAATAAGAAATAATTATTTTCAATCGCTATAAAAATTATTTATTAAACTTTATCAACTGTAGCTTAAATATTATTTAATATAGAATTGCTAAAAAAAAAAAATAAAAAAAAAAAAAATAATAATTCCATGTAAATGAAGTAATAAATCAAAGAATGATTTCAAACTGAACTCTATTATGGAATATAAAAGTAATTTATCTATTATATTTTTACAGTGACATATGACACTAACAACTAACTTGAAAAAAAAAACCTGGATTAGACTTCATTCATGATTATAATTATTGTTATCGTCATCGTCATCGTCATCGTCATCGTCATGACGTTACGATTGTTGCTATTGTTACTATTATATATTTTTATTGTAATACTAAATTACAAATTAACTCCATTTTGAATGCTCTTTTATTATAATAAGTATACGATAAATATGTTTAACGATAATTTGACTAAATAATCACTAATTCATTAAGTCTGATATAAAAGTATCTCGGAGTAAAAGTTGACCCATTGGTTCTTTGCAGAATTCACCATTTTTGTAAACAAAGCTTCCTCTAACAATTGTACCGTATACTTTTCCAAACAAAGTTTCATTTATATAAGGAGTTATCTGGAATTAAATTAAATAACTTAATTGTATTGAAAAAAATTTCTTAAATGTATTTGAAAGTGTAAATGAAAACTAAAAATTGAGTTTACAATCGGTTAAGTAATTAATTGGAAAATTATCTATTTTTTATATACTACATATATTTAATGACTAAATATATTGACGAAAATTAAAAACCACAAATATTTATGAAATTAAAAATAACAAGCCATTATCGACCAAAATTGTAATATATGAATGCTTAGAAAGGGATTTTTTTTTTTTTTTTTTTTTAATAAAGAAAATTAATGAGTTGAAAAGGCGTTAAACAAAATTTAATATTTATAATTTGGGATGGAAAAATTTAAATCTCGATTTTCTAGACGCGTAATAATAAAAATTTTTTTTCGAAATAATATATAATTGCACTGTCGAATGACTGTCAACATTGTCACATTATCAAAATTGTATTTAAATAACAAAAAGATCGCTAATGACCAAGAACAAAAATAAAAGGATAAAACGGATAATAAAAGTCACGTAATGTAATATACAAATGATGTTTTAATATAATATATTATAATAATATGTAAACTTTTAAGCATAAGTTTAATTTAAATAAGTTTAATTGATTTATGAAAATTATCGTTTAATGCCAAGAACAACATAATACTGAATATAATATTTAACATTGCGCCGAATATAAAATTGAAATTCTATTATTTTATCATACGAGCTTTTTTTCTATTGTAAGCAGAAATTGAAAGGCCGAATCACTCAGTTATTCTTCATATTAACGAAAAGAAAATGAATATATTAAGTGATAACTTTAATTTCATGCAAAATATTGATAATGTAAAAGTAATTGTTATTATTGGAATATTAATTTTACAAACCTTATTTTTGTGTAAAATTCCATTTTGATTAATCTGAAAGTCGTTCGATATTATAAATTAATTTTGTTTATTTTTCATGACAAAAGCATTTGAAACGATGCTTATAGAACTTACCTCTATAGTTTTCTCAGGATCCCAGATCACAAAATCAGCATCCATTCCGACTCGTAAAGATCCTTTTTGATTGTTTAAACCACAAAGAGCTGCTGGCGCCGAACAAAGTAAGCGTGCAATATCTTGAAAACTTAATCCATGCATTTTTGATTGACTCCAAAACAAAGAAAGGCCAAATTGCAATGAAGAAATTCCACCCCAATCCTTCAAGAAATTACCAGTTTTTTTCAAATCCTCTGTGCAGGGAGAATGATCGGATACAACCATATCAAGTGTCCCATCCTTTAAAGCTGACCATAATTTCTCCTATTATCAATGAAAGTTTCATTTAATATAACTTTACCTTTATAGGTCGCATATTACAAGCAATGGCAAAGTTCAAGAAATTTTAATAATTTATGTCAAATAACGTTAAGCAGCGATAAAACATTTTTTCTCAAATACAATTAAAATCAATTCAAATAAATAATTAAGTCAATTTACATATATACATCCTAATATAATGTGTAGGATTTTAATAAATTATTTTTATATTAACGAATAATATAATTAAATGTGTTTTATTTTTTTTTATTTACATTTATTGCCACCTAAAAAATTATATGTTTTTACATAAAGTTATCTCGTGCTTGGATACATATTTTATTTAAACGCAAGTATATCAGAAATACGGAATATAAATACTTTTAATCGAGCCTTTCATTACTCGTATTAATTATTTAACGTTCTGCTAAAAAAAAAACATGTTATTTATCTAATTGAAATTAATCCCACCAATGATTTGAATTTAACTAATTAAAATTTATAATACATTTCATTTGTATGAATTAACATTATCTAAGCCAATTAAAATTTCGGAGTTTCGTTTTTGATTTGTGATTACGATTAAGACCTATATTTAGAACATATATTTGTATAAAAAAGTTAGTATAAAAAAAAAAAAAAAAAAAAAAACTTACATAGAGATATAAATTATACAAAGCAGTAATTAAATTTTAATTATTAATAAACGTAAGTTTTATGATCGTAAAGCTAAAATTTTTAAACAAATTTTGTATTTAATAATATTTTTTCATAAATTTCGTTCCTTTGATTATTCATATAAGATTGAACACACATCATATTTACAAATTACAATTGCAATTATTTATTAAATATATATGATAGTACTAACTTTATTAGAACTATATCTTATAGGCGGGCAACATTTATATTGTGTCGCACTTCGTGGGATTTTCTCAGCTATGAAATGAAGATAATGATAACAGGTTTCTGCGGTTAACAGTAATTGTTGTTCTTTTGCCTTTCTAATTAAATTCAAAGCTTCGCTCGCTGATAAATGCACTATATGACATCGACAACTAAAACGCAAACAGTATAATGGATATTATAATATATCTGTATTATTTAGTTACTTTATTTTTGCTTACTTGAAAGTTTTACATAAATTTACAATAATTTTTATTGCTTCAGTTTCCATGACTGGTGGTCGGGTTTTCAAATAAGTGTGGTAATCGAAAGGATCTTCTGTTACAAATAATAAAGAAATATTAAAAGTACTCGATGCAAAAATGTATTAAATATCTTAACTACCGACGGACTACAATGCGTTGAAAATTTTAAAACATTTAAAAGTATATTTTATACAGAATAGTTTGAGACAAACAATTTAATATTTTACTATACAGTCTTTATATATATATATATATATATATATATATATTTACAAAACATAATATGTTTAAAATTAAAGAAATTTTAAAATCCGAATAATAAGTGAAAATAAAATATATGAACGTATAAACGCTTAGTAGTTGAATAATAATAAATTCATAATACCATCCGCTTCAATAGGAAAACCGTTTACCTCACATTCTGCATGAAACTATAAAATAATAACTGTTTTAATAATTTATCTATACATCAATATATTTAACAACTATTAATTGAATAAAAATTATATTTGAATTATTTACAGCTAAAACAGTGTTCAAATCCTTAAGTTCTATTAAAGCTTTTTTCACATCATTTTCATTAACATGGGGGAATTCTTCAACACCACTAGGACAAAGGAAGCATTTAAATCCAACAACTCCAGCCTCTACGAGTGATTTTAGCTCTTTCTACAATCAACAAGCATACAATAATTTAATATCTTACGTCTCTTTGTCTAATTGTTCATTTTTGTTATTAGTTTTATTACTTGATTATCTGGTAAAACGCCTCCCCAAAATCCAACATCTACAAATATCTTATTTTGAGCTGTTCGTGCTTTAATTTTTAAATTCTTCAAAGTCGTTGTTGGTGGTATGGAGTTTCTAATTTTAAAGTAATTTTATTAATAAATTGATAGTTTTTGTTTATTTATTTAAGTACATACGCATAGACACATTTTCCAGTATAATTATTACAAAATTAGAAATATAGATATTGAAATATTCAATTCAATTAATTGAATTCATTGTTCAAGTTCGATAAGATATAAAAAATTGTAGATATGTACCATAGATAATCGTTATATAAATTTAAAAATTATAATTACATTGTGTATAGATGTAAATACACAATTGTGAATAAATTGACTAATTTAATATACTTTTAAAATAAATAATAAAAATTGATTAAATAATTACGATTTGTTATATAAAATTATAGCGATTGACTTACGTACGTAATATACAATAACAACCAACGATTTATGATATTCTATTATATAAATGAACCATTTTTCTATCAAATTAATTTAGTCAAACATGTAATAATACTCAGTTAAATAAAAATGTATAGAATTTAATAATTTAATTAAAAAATTTTATTATAAATATTATATTTATTCGTTTTTTATAATATCGAAGAAAGCCAATGTACATTAGGGAGGTAAAATAAAAAGTTAAAAAATCATGAAAATAGTTCTGCATATTTGTCAAAGAAAGGTTATCAATATAAGTTTATTTAAACTGGAAATTAAAATACTTATTACTTATTGTGTATTTAATACTTTATGCTATATATATATATATATATATTTATTTATTTATGAAAATGCAAGAAATATGATTAATATATCGAAAATACATATGAATATTTATATTCAACATAAAAATATATGTAATGACAGACTCTAGATATTTTACATATTTTTAATGAATGTAAATTACTTCAGTTAAACAAGAGTTCGAATTATTTAATAATAAATTTTTAAAAATTTAATTTAGTATTTTAGAAAAATATTTCTTATAATGAAAGCTAATTATATTAAAATAAACAAATTAACGTGACTATATATACAACGTATTTCTTACATCGTATATATATATACAATAACGATGTAAATTACCAATTGCTTCAAATAATTCGTAAAAAAGAAATAAAAAAAATTTTGTCAATTCCTTTTTTTATCCTTTACGACTTAACTACCTATCACTGTTTACCACATATCTTAATAATTATATGTCAATATAATATATCAATATATTTCGATGTAGTATTTATCAAGTACACATTCCGTAACAAAAGAATAAATAGAATTAAATTGCTAATTATTATTCGTTCCTAATAATAATCGCCTGCACATATCATTGTATAAAATTGGCGCACTTACAATGGCATGTCTATAATAGTCGTAACACCTCCTGCTGCAGCAGCTCTTGTCGCCGTCCAAAAACCTTCCCAATGTGATCGTCCAGGTTCATTTAAATGTACATGAGAATCCACTATACCAGGCATTAATATCAAATGTCCAAAATCTTCGTGCTCAATGTCACGATATTTCTATTTTTCGTTTTTTTTTTTTTTAAATAATTATTACAATAACAAATATTTAATCTTACGAATTATATTATTTTATTATATATTATTAGTGTACACGTACTTGTAATTTTTCATTTATTTCTTCATCATCGCTACAAACAATGATTTCCTCAATTTTTCCATCTGATACTTTTAAAATTGCTGACTTTAAGCCATCAGGTAAAACAGTACGTCTGGATATATATAACTTAACTGTAGATCCACTCATTTTACATTCAATTTTATAATGATATACAAAGTTTAATAAATGCGTAATAAATAATAAAATGGATTTCAGAAGTACTTACGAGACGCACTCGAGACTGACTCGAGACTGACTCTCTGTACTTCCGATGCTTAATTTATCTTTACAATACAGTATATTTATTGATAAGCAACTTATACAATATTTATCGTATTGATAAGGAAAAGAAAAGTATAATAGACTTTGGAAGATGAAATTTGGAGGAAAAAAAAAGAAATAAAATGCATCTATTTATAATTTTCAAATACAAGTTTTTAAAAAAATTTTATTTATTTTTTACTGAATGTATTAAGTTAATAATAATATTAGTAATAATAATCATTATTATCAAAAAATTACTCTTTCGCACTATGTTAAATGCTAAGGATAATTTGAAATTTCAGCTTATATTCAATGTCATTATAAGTTTAATAAATTAAAATAAATATTATTATTCGTAGATTCTAAATATTAGCTAAACTGTTAAATTTCATATAAATTTATCATTTAATTGCAAAATATAATTTAGAACATATGAATGTTAATATAATTATATAACAAGTTAAACGTATGAATAACTCATACAAGTATGTGTTTTTTTATAATTCTAAGCCAAACGCTGCTATTTTACAATACAGAATACAAAATATTATGCATTTTTTTCACGAATTCTTTGAGATTTTTTTATAAGTTCAAAATTAGAAATTCGTATTGACAGTTATAAAAAAGTATAATTAAAATTTAAAAATATTTCTGGCTTTGATATTTAATATATTGTATATTACGATATAGATAAAATGCAAATTGAAAATAATCCTTATATATATACTTAAGGCGGAACTTTCAAATTATCTCATTTTCCTACTACCTATCCCTCAAGTTTTATTTCCTATCAATTAAATCTTTTAATTTATTTTTTCGTTTAACTATAAATACCGTCATTCCTCATAAAAAAAAAAAAAAAAAAAAGTGTACAAGCACATATCAAACATATATGAAGTTTTGAAAGAATTATGTGGATTTAAATAATAAAAATATTATATTGAATTAATAAGTTTCCAAGTGTCATTATTATCAGTATTAAAGATCGATTATTAACCAGATTTGTTGATTTTTACCATTGAGTTAAATTTCATATATAATTAATTAATTTCATCTCATTTAACATCTTTCTTCTAATATCTTAAATAAAAGTTTGTTTAGTAATTTATATAGAATATTTATTGTAAATAAAAGTAAAATAATATACATTTTATACTTGATTACTCAATTTATTTAAAAAGACAATAAAGAATTATCAAATTTCACTTTTTATTGCCCTTTTATTTAATAAGCGGTCTTGTATAGTCAAATTATTTTATCATTTGGAGATAAAGACAAAAAATAAATAATATAATAATATATTATTTAACTTTAAGTAGTGTTATTGTTCGATTTAATAAACAGCTATACTATTTCTAATTCTTGCCGATAATTAAATTATTACTCGTTACAGTTAATATTTTGAAATTCCTTGATTAATATTTATTTATACCTGCAGGAAGAATAAGCTTTTCATATTACAACTCTATTATTTTATAATAATACAGCATTAATCTTATGTCATCCATTTGTCTACGCAAGTACTTCTCAATGAGTATTTTCACCTAATGAACTAGTTGCGTAATAATAATTTTCAATTATTATAAAATGTAATTATTAGCAATACTTACTGTTCTTACTAAATATACATGTTAACATTTAAATATTATTATCTTTTAAATTAACGTGTACCAGACTTATGCATAAACAAATCTTATAATTACATAATCAATAATATTATATTAAAAATAATTAACGAATAATGTTATAAATTTATTAAAGTGCTTATTAATGTTAAGTATAATTAAAAAAGTGAATTGAATTTGAGTATTTTACTTATTTTATTCTTTTACATTTTTCATCAATTCGATTAATCAATGAATACAAAAGAGCTACTATTTGCTTTCGTAACTATTTGACATCAATTCATTAATTAATAAAAAAACAAAAAAAAACAAAAAAACTTTTAATTTAATTTATTTTAAATGTTTTATTTAAAAGATATTACAAAATCGAAGTGTAATAGCATATAAATAGCTTTTGGTATAATTATTTTCTGACATTAAGTTTACTACTGTGTTTTTATTATCTATAATTACTATTATGTAAATAAATCTTATTCTTGTAATTTCCTTTATAATGTATAGCCAGGAAATTTTGCTTCAAGTGGCTTTTGCATATCAATAAGAAAATAAATTGCTCCCGCCAAACCTAAAACAATATTATTACTTACTATAGTAATTAAGCATACGCACAAATAATGACATAGAAAAGAATTACAATCATATTAAATCAATAAAGAGACGCGAAAAAGAATTTTTAAATTTTCAAAAATTATATAATGACCTTCAAAAAGAGAAAATGGTCTATCAGGGTGTCTGGTTTGATTTCTTTCATAATCTAAACACCATTCTGCAAATTTACAAGCTCTATACAGGTACTTAGGTTCCTATAAATATTTTTCAAAAATTCATCAATACAATTGTTTAAGAAGTATCAAGTGATTTACGGTATTACTTTTGTTAACTGAAAGAGACTAAGAAAAGTGTAAGCATTTCCAGCAACTCCATGACACATTCCACAACCTTTTTTAAGAAGTCCTCTCTTCCATACAACTTCACCACATTCTAACGCTGTTCTTAAATATTGTTCTTTATTGAAAATCTACAATTAAAGATCAAATTTAACTATTTCATTTGCATACGGTTACGAATATGTGTATTCGGTACCTCGTAAGCTAAACAAAATAGCATAGTCATTGAAGGCGCACCATGACACCAATGAACTAATTTATCAGTAGTGCTTTCAATAGATGATGGAAAATTTCCTGAACTGTATTTTATACTTTCTAACCATTGAAGTGTTGGTTCTATTTTAGTCTTTATTTGTTCTTCTGATAAATAGTTGCGAGCCTAAGTATTGAAACAATTGTACCGTTAAACTATGAATAACGACGAATAAGAGTTTATTTATTAAAAATTTGCCTACCTGTAGCAATACATAAAGTATACCGGCCACTCCATGAGCACCACCAAGATATTCGGTATCATGCCACGTATATCTTAAAGGAGGTGTATCATGTTCGTGTTTATTATATTTTATTCCAGACCTTAAGATTTCATTAATTATCTGAAATAACATTGCTGTTTATATAATATCTATAATTAAAAATTTTAATTACAATTTAAATACTGAAATTACATTTTTAATGATATTCTCTTCTATAGGAGGTGGATTTATATATTTATTGACAAATAGGAGTGCGTATAGACATCCGACACGACCATAAAGTAATTCATCGGGTAAGTCAGACGCTGAGTAATCTTCGATAGCATACATTGCTTGTGATATTAATCTGCAAAGTAGCCAATGCAATTATACAACAATAAATACACTAAACTTATATAGATTTTTTATAATAATTAAATTCACTTTGATATCATCTTTTTTGATTCGTGCTCATGCATTTGTAGATGATGAATAATGGCTCCTAATGCAAGCGGCCCTGCATAACCAGTCAAAAATGTTACGCGTCTCTTTTCTCTTAAATTTTTAACTGTACTATCCAGTATCTGCTGAGCTATCTGAATTAAAATAATACTTGATTGCGAAATATTTAAACAAATTAAAAGGTAAATGTTAATTAAAAACTTACAGATATATAGTTTTGATCTTTAAAATATTTTCCATAATGATAAAATGTATATGAAATCCCTGATATTCCTGTATATAGCGAATAATCGTCAAGATAATACCAATTTTTTTTGTTTGCTTCCAATTTTTTTAATAAAACTTTTGTACCGGCATTTAATATTCCTTTAAATTCATCGCTAATCTAAAATAAATAGAAAGCATTATATTATGAAATTAATATAGATATATAAAACCTTGAAATAAACTTGAAGAATACATACGTTAAGATTATTGCTGTCGAGAATTGAAATTCTATTTCCTTCTACATAATCTTCATAAGGATTATTTAAATATCTGACACTCATTTTTTTTCATGAGTACCGCTTACGTTTCCTAAAGATATATTTTTCTTTATACAATTATTAAATTTTTTAAGTTTTTAATCAGTATAATATACTTGGCTTAAAAATAATATACTTTGGCCCTTTGTAATTTCAAACAATATATATATCCACAGTAAAAAGTAACCGCGTACAAGTATATATGCAAATTTTTAAATAAATTTTATACTTTACACGAGGTAGAAAATTAATTACTTGATAATTAAGATTGACTATCAAAATTTTATTATATAGAATTACATTCTAAAAGAGTTTAAAATTTTCTTTAAAAAATAAAAAATACAATGTTGTTCTAATAGACATATTTTTGTATAGCGTGATATCTATTTATTTCCATAACACGAATAATTGCAAAAATTAATAATCTTGGCGACAGCTTGTATATTAATTGAACGATCCAAATAAACATAGTGTGTGGAAAAAAGCCAGTTGTTATTTCATCTTTTCCTATGGTTGTAATTGCATTTTCAACATATTGTTCTGCATTTGGTGAAATCCATTTTCTTAATCTTTCTGAACAATCTTTTGTGGAATTAGTCACATTAACAGGCAATAAACACTGAATAATAATTCCATATTTACTATATTCTATATGAAGATCCGTACTAAATTTCAATATATATGCTTTTGTTGCTGCGTATACAGTTAATAACGGACTTGGAATTACAGCTGCCGAGGATGCTATATTAACAATAACTCCTTTATGACGCGATACCATTTGAGGCAAAATAATCTGGCACATATTAGTTGTAACAGCAATATTGCATTGGATAATGTTCATATAAATTTTATTATTATGGGGTAAATCAAGAAAGTACTCTGGATGTGGATAACTTTGTCCAAAATTATTTATTAATATTCCAATATCCAAACCTATAATTTCTTTTTCTATAATTTGAAAAGCTTCCGCACTTTCAACTAAATTCACATAAATAATTTTCGTTTTAATATTGTATAAAAATTTTAAATTTTCAGCAATATCTTTTATTGTATCTTGTATTTTGTATTCTTGGGAATTATCATTGATTAAAATGACATTTAATCCTTGCTTAGCTAAAACTTCAACGAAAGCCTTACCAATGCCATGCGAGCAGCCTGTTACAATAGCCCACTTTCCCAACGATGAGAGATCAACATTATTATTGATTGAAAAGTAACTTGTATATAACTTATTAAAAATATTCAATAAAATCTGATAACCCCAAAGGACTGTAGCAATACAACCGATTTTGTATATTAAAGTCATATTTTAAAAAGGCTCGAGTGACTTTTTGTAGAAAAATATATTATTTAATGATGGAGAATCACAAATTCCAAAGTAAATTGTTATTATAACACGAGCGTATATTAAAAACTAAATATAATTTATACCGGTAATTTTTTATCATTTCTTTTTCTTACACGCACACATACAAACACACATGCTTATATATGCATATTTACATACCTATTTTATACTTCAAGTCAGTAAAACAATTTTTTCGATTTATTTTGTTTAATAACAAAAAAAATATCCCTTTAATTTGTATACCGTTTGAGATGAAATCTGTATGATTTCGCCTTGAAAATGTAGGCACATGTAACATCAATGTGTATAAACATGAAATCTATAAATGAATAAATAAAGTACTATTGTAAATCTGTGTAAATAACTATCGAACAATAGTGACATAAATGAAAATGAAGGTAGCACCCCTAGTGAGAAGGCTCTAGACTTTCAAATTTTGCACATTTCATTAGGCGTCAGAGGACAGAAGAAGGATGTTTTATGAGCAGAATAAAATATGCTTTTACTAATACTAATGAAATGACGAGATAGAAGGAGGGGCAGAGACGGATAAGCTAGAAGTATTACATAGAATAATAATTTATTTTAACAATTAACTTTTATTCTCGCTGTTAAAAAAAAAAAAAAAAAAAAAAATGA